CAAGCAAGACCTACCCACAACAAACCCATGCTGGCTATCCCTTAGGATGTTGGCGTCGGCCAGTCCATTAAGGATGGCCTCTTTAATAAACTTTTCAAAGATCTTCTCTGGGATAGAAATCAGGCTGATGTGCCTATAGTTAGCCGGATCTACTTTCCTCCCTTTCTTGAAGATAGCATCACATTGGCCTTCTTCCAGTCTTCAGGCAGTACACCAGAGTGCCAGGAGTTTTCAAAGATCCTAAGCTGTCTCACCTTAAGTACTTTTTTAAATATAATTTTGAGTTTGTGGACACCAGTCAGCCATTTCCTTTTCCTCAAAAGTTACATTTCTCTTGCCCATCAGACGTGTAAAATTTTGAAAGACTCAATCCTAGTCTCTTGATAAGCTCAAGCTCAGTTGTATCAGAAGCAGTCAGGGCTAGAAATGAAAGTTATGTATAACAGAATAAGCATTTTCAAAAAGAAAATTTCCTAAGTGAGGTGCCAGGGGTAAAGCAATGAAGTGATGTCAGCTTAAATAATGGGTGTACATTATTTTTGAAATTGTGTGTTGTACATGTTTTTTCTGAATAAATGTATCTAGGGACATATCCCTATGAGATCAGTCTTGTCTATTAGAAGTATATTAACATTTATTTTCTTGTGAAGCAAGCATAATATATAAAATTTGTTAAATTACACATGTATTTTTTAGCCCATTGCCTAAAATCATTCAGCCATCACAATGAAATATTGCATTACTGAATTATTTTCTTATAGCAATGTACTTATTATCATATTTGAACATGTCATGGTACTCATACATAAACATATGTGAAGATAGAACTCTTCTCATCTTTTCAGTTGACCGAGTTTCCTAGTAACATAGGTGTAATATTTCCTTCTATGCAAGCTTTCATATGGTTGTTTGGAGAATGCAACACACTCTAAAGATGAAAAAAAATATTTTTCAGCTGCTCTTTCTAAAATCTGATCCACAATTGCATTTTTTTTATTTTGCCTCTGACATTCTGGGAGTCGTAGGCAAGGAACAGTAAGCCAGTATCCAGGCCAAGCAAACATAGCAGCTCTCTGTACTGCTCAGGTGCCTGCCAGCCCACCTGCTCTTGCAGCCTTACACAGGAGCTCCTTTCTGGGCCAGACCACCCTTTCCAGTTCAGGAATAGGACTTATATGCCTTAGTCCAGCCCTCTTATGGCCACCTGATTAGTTCTTTTTGCCCCTCTTTCCCCAGGGCTAGGTGTAGTTAATTACCTCATTAGATGCCTGAGCCCTGGTGATTTACTTACTCAAGCCCTTGTGGTAACAGGGGCGGGGGTTCCCTGTTGCACAGAGCAAAGGGGAAACTGAGAAATAAAGGTAAAGTGCAATATTTGAAGTGTCAAGAGCCTGTTCTCCACAGCACCGTGAAAATATAATCATATTAATTAAAAATATGGATGATCAAATGCCTGGTCCAGAATGTTCAATTTAATCTGGGCTTTGTAGTTTCCCTAAAGAATGGGGTTTTTAACATAAATATTTTGGAATGTATAGAAAGAAAATAAGTAGGCTAAATCTCTTTGTCAGCACTTCTTCAATCCTGTGCTTATTAGGCACTTTGGACATTTATACATATGCTCTGGGAGGTGGTGGTGGGGGCAGAGCACTTTAATTAAAGTACCCAGAGCATCTCATCTATCAGCATCCCCGCACTGAAAAATAGTGGCAAGGTTGCTTTAACTAAAGCTCTTTTGACAGGCTGTAGCTAAAGCACCCACTCTGCCTCTTTCAGCATGGGGATGTTGTTGGATGAGATGCTGGAGTCTGGAGCATGGTAATTACCATGCTCCAGCAGACTTAATTAATTGAGTCTGTTCCAATGTGCTGTAATTACAGCATATCAGAGCAGCCTTACTGCTCACGTATAGGCACCCTTTAAAGATTTTCTTGAATTTGTTCTTTCTACCTTCATTTTCTAGGTAGACTATGATAATCATATGCTTTATAAACATGGAAAGACAGGCCGTAAACAGTCTCCTGTTCGTATTTTCACCAATCTGTCTCCAAGTACGATAGTACTTCCTATAGAGGAAGGGTACAGGTAAGATCTCCTAAAACACTCGCACTCTTTTAAAAACCATACAGAAGCCTAGATCTGGAGTTTCACAGTGGTACCTTTAGGCATCAGGTTCCTCAAATAGAATTAACAATCTTATTTTGACACCTGAGTTCTCCATACAATGGTAGGCACCTTGGGATTGGATCCACAGTGGATAGTATTTGTGAAGGAAGCAGGAGATTTGGATTTGAACTACCTCAGGCGGTGGAGGCCCTAGAATGCAGATCTTCCACTTCCTGGATCACTGCCCTAACCACTTTATTATATAAAGGTGGGCACAATGATCACCTGCACTCCTTGTGTTTAGGAACAAATGTGGCCATTGTTGCTATGTTTTGAGCAGAAATCAGTATAGTTAGTGTGTGGTGTTCATGTTCTGGTATTTCCCTACACCTACAGGATCAGCTCTCCGACCTCCCTATAAGGGGACTGACTTAAGTGTGGGAACATCATTGTGATTCCCAAGTGACTGTAGGCCTAAAATAGACATACCTAGCTGGTGCTGTTGTTCCTGAATTTGCATATTTGTGGAATCTTAGATACGTAGGTAACTTTTCTGGCAAAAACTTCAGTGCCTATGGACTTTCAGGCATTTAAGTGTTTATGCGGGGTTTTGTGGTTTATTCACTTGCACTTAAGTACCTACATTGTACCTAATTTTCACTTTAGGTGCCTATGTGCTTTGTGGAACTGGAGTTAAGGGATTATTCTAGAGCTTAATAGTGCTGGGTTTTTGGTTGTAGCTGTATTGGTCTAAGGACATAGGCAGGCAAAGTTCTTTGAGAAGCTGTGATATTTTTTTTAGTGCACCAACTGAGTATTTGGTAAAAGTTCTTCGCATACTTTTGGACACAATCACCCGTCTTCAGGCATAGGGAGTCTGCTGTTCTGAGACTCTCAAAGAATGAGAGAAACTAAAAAGTGTGGCAGG